CAATGTAACTCTAAACTCAATTGTGTGTTTCAGATGTATTACATCCCACAACCTCATCATCTGCAGAGAAAGATCTCTACTTAATCACACACTTGATGGACTTTAAAGCATCATATTGATTGGATTGTGATTGTTTCACTGAAAGTTGGTCTTCATCACATCTATTTTTTGTTCTTATTTTGTGTTTTACTTCTTTATGTATGTATTCATGTTCAATGTCAATTGTCATTCATTAATGTACTCAGCTAATAAGTTGTTAAGAGCACTGACAAGTTTGCATGTTATTAAAAACATAATTCACACAACATGCTGCTGCTGTGGTTATTATTGTTGTTTTAATGTAAAACCCTAACCGAGGCTACACTCTAAGATGCCTCATTACTGATTTTCTGGAGCTCAGCCATCCAGACTGTCAGCACAGTCTCAACAGGTAAATAATTTCTTTCTTAAAATGTCTATAAATTATAACTTTCAAATGCTAATTGGTTTCCTTTGTCGTTTCTCTTTTTAGTTTAAGAGAACATGTAAGTGTGACCAGCTCTATTCAGGTAAGGATACTCTCCTCTTCTTCACTAAGTAAGTAACAAAGATAATGAATGTTTGGTCCATTTTGTTAGATATGTTTTATTACTTGGGTTTATGAATAAACATACCCTATCCCTTGACTTTATATTACATTTTCCTTTTAACATTGTGAAGTGCTCACATACTACTTTTGGCCTTCATAAACAATTGTTTTCACATAAACAAATGAAAGGAGACAAACTGTAACTCTAAACTCAATTGTTTACCGCCATTTTGGAGAGTACCCAAGAGCGTAATCGACGTAATCAGCGTTGTTTACGTTCGGAGGAGAAAGTGCGCACATGAACGTAATCAGCGTAATCAGTGTTGTTTACACTTAGGGGAAAGTGTGCGTACGTGTTGTGATACTCTAAAATGGCGGAAGACGTAAATCGGGGGAGAAGAATCGTTGAATAAATTATGTTATTTTTGTTTTCTTTGAGCTCAAAAAGTATTCTCACAGCTTCGCAAAACTGAAGTTGAGCCATTGATGTCACATGGACTGTTTTAACGATGTCCTTACTAGGTTTCTGGGCCTGGGAACATTACAGTTGCATTGCTGTCTATGCAGGGTCTGAGAGCTCTCACATTTTATCAAAAATATCTTAATTTGTATTCGGAAGATGAGCGAAGGTCTTACGGGTTTGGAACAACATGAGGGTGAGTAATTAATGACAGAATTTTCATTTTTGGGTGAACTAACCCTTTAATGTTACTTGAAGAACATTTGTTGATAACTTTGAGAGAACGTTTTAAGAACGTTCCCTGTTAGCTGGGATATTGCTGGGGAAGGATTTACGCATACCTGAAAACCAGGTAACCAATTCCCTCTCTCTCGCCCTCCTCCACCCCAAACCCCCATTAAACCCTCTGAAACCCCATATCAGCTTCCTTTAGATGTTTCTCCAACACAATTGGGGTAACTGGACTCTTGGCGGAGGCAGTCGGTGCAGATATGAAGTGAGCACACAATGGAGCATTCATGCTCTCTCTCTCCATCCATTCTTCCCCAGCTGCAGAGGAATCCTGTCCAAGATTTTGCCCCCCACCACACCACTGCCACCCGTCCACCAGCAGAAAGAGAGACGACACAAAAGCAGGATTCATCCCAGAGACGGGGACCCATTTAAGCGTTATGCAGCTGCATCGATTTATTAAAAGATGGGTGGAGAGACAGAGAGATAGAGGGTCAGCAGGGGTCACGGACCCCCAGACTTTATTAACCCTCTGAAGATGATGACATGTTAATGACCTTTAATCATTAATAATCAGCAAAGAGTGGGAGAATGTACAGAATGGAGGTATTGACGAGGAAAAGAGAGAAAAAATCTTCCTGTTCTAGAACAAAACATGTCAACTGATGAATTAAAGTTAGTGTATGTATTTCCATTCATGCTAATTTGTACAGCGCTTTTCACAATACTTACAGTATCAATGGAGCTTCACAGAAATGCATGCTTCAAATGTTACAGTCAAGATAACATCTGAACATACAGTATGAATTCTATTCATGGGTCAACGCATCTGAATACATGTAAATGTAAATTCCTACACTAACTGTATTTCACAGATGAGTGTGATGAGCGAACGAGCAACAGAGTGCTGATCTACACACCTGTCTCACTGCACACCTGTCTGTCTCTAACAAACACTACAGCTCTTTCTAACAGTATTTCCACACCTGGAGGATCAGTGTTGTATATTATATATACAACTGTGTATATATACAGTGTTGTATATGAATATATATATTATTATATTCCTCTTTGCAGCTGTTTGTCAAAACAAAAATTAATAAAAAAACATGTGATTTTTAATTAAGCCTGCTAAATAAATAAATAAATAAAAACCTATATATTCCTTTACGGTCGTTTGTAAAAAAGATTTTTTTTTTTTTAAAACATCTGTTTTTTTATTGTTAATTAAGCCTGAAATAAATAAATAAATAAATACATATATATTCCTCTTTACTGCTGTTTGTCAAAAGAAAAATTCATTTTAAAACATCTGATTTTTATCTTAATTTAAAGCCTGCAATATAAGCAAACAAAGAAGCAAATAAATAAAAAATTGTATACATACTACAGATATATTTTCGTATATATACATATGAAATGAAAGCAACATAAAGTAAAATATATATTAAAAATGTCATCACACTTTATTTTAAGGTCCAATTCTTACTATTAACTAATTATGAACTACTACTATTGCCTCAGTAAGCTAATAATTAGCTGCTTATTAATAGTTAGTTAGGTAGTTGTTAAGTTTAGGTATCAAGTGGATTAAGGTATCTGAAATATGGTCATACAGAACAAGGCATTAATTGTGCCTAATAAACAGACAACATGCTATTGATATAGTTAAAAGTGAGAATAGGTTGTTAAAATGAAGTGTTACCAATGATTTTTAATAAAGCCACATTCCAGCATAGAAATAACCTCTGAAAGTCTCTGAAATTGAGCTAATATCAAAGATGAAGTAAAAGCGTTCAGTAAACATGTGTGTTTTTGTGTCAGATTAGTTTCTCAGAGAATAAAGTATCACACACAGGCGAGTCTCGCTGGGCCGAGACGTTCTTGTGCAGGTGAAGCCGAGGCTCCACCCACAGGAACTCAACTCCGCTGGGATTTTCACCAGTTCCACCTCGTTTACTGAGGAAAACAACACGAGAAGCACAAACCCTGGACGCATGAGATCATTCCAGCAGTGTCTGACCTTTCCTGCCTCACACAGGAATTCCCCATCTGTCATTACTAAAGCGGACAAAAGGGCAAAACCTTTCGTTCTCAGAGGAAAAATGATAAAAACTCCGCCCACTCGCATCTTTTGCTTGCTCCACTTCCCGTCGGGCCAGAAACTGGCACACATGCAGAGCGAATGTGATCAGGTGTGTGTGTGTGTGTGTGAAGGCCAGCCATCAGCCGGTCATGAGACATGCAAGTCCTCATATTGACCTTTTGACCCCTGCACATCCCAGAGACCATCTCCAACGGCAACCAGCAGCAGCATCACTGTCACATGCTGCATGACTACACTAAAACACACATATTCATACACACACTCATACCAACACACACACACACTCATTATCTAATTAAACTGCACAGAGAGTGAAATAACTGCCAGCAATGTTTGAGATTTGCTGAGAACATCAGCTTCCAACAGAATGAACAATAATCCACTAGAAGGTTCAATAATTCACTTTAGTTTGCAGCTCGTTAAGTCAAACTGTAATTAAAAGAAACGATGCTAGAGAAGTTCTTAATTGCAGCACAGATAATGTTTTCATGGATTGATATCAACCATTAAATGGTTTAGTTAATAAGCCTAAATCAGTCTCGGGCTCTCAATTTTAACGGGGGTTTTCGCGAATTATAATATACGGTAATATACGAATTAATAATAAAACTCGTGATTAAATAACATTAATGTATGTAACGGTCGCGTTAATAATAATCAAGCGAGAATTTTCGACAATATCCTGCTTCAAAATTACACTTATTTTAAGTTTTATAAAATGTAAAAATTTTTTTTTTGAATTTGACAGGAAACAAATTCACTTTCGTTCAGAAAAAGAACACTACGCAGATACAACAATCATTTCAAAACGACTAAATAATAATAATAATAATAACTAAGCTAGTTTATATGAAAATAATAGTTTTTAACTATTGTTATGATTATTCGATCTTTAAGAAATTTTTGCAATGGAAATACAAACAGGATAATTCTGATCTACATGTTATTAGATGAAAATCATTTTGACAATATTTTGCTGTAAGTTTTCAAAAAAGATTTCAAATGCAAGAAAAGCAAAGGCGCGTGTTAATTATTTATTAATTAGTTCAGGTAACGACGAACATCTCACGCACCTGCAGGATAAACTTATTTCAGCTCAAATTAATTAAAGAATGCAAAGAATAATAACAATTTCTGAACTGTTACAATTAATTAATTTATTATTATTATTATTATAAGATTTGTGTCTTATATAAAACAGTCTTAAATTATTTTAAAAAACGGAAATCGTTGCAAAGAACAGATGTCAAATAATTTATGAAAATGTAAACACAATAAAAAATAAACAATCGACATCAGCCTAAATTATAGTACAAATTCTCAATGCTTAAAAATGTCAAGGCACAACAAATGCTCCATAAAAGAAAACTCAGATCGCGATCATCAAAAGTAACAACTCACTGCAAGAAGCTACAGGAAGACAAATAGCCAAAGCAACTGAGTTTAACAGCTACACATCAAGTCAACACACACAAAACAACTGCATGATGATCCTCTACAAATGTTCATCTCCAGGTCTGCACTTTATGTTTCAAATGCTTGCAGACAAAGTGACGCGGGCAGTCATATTCCTACAAACGCCGCTTTCTCCGCGCCTTTCCCAACTTCCCTAAGAGCAACCGGGAGAAACTCACATCAAAGCGTGCAGCAGGCCTCAGATCCGCGTACATCCATACCGCTGAGAGACAGAGACGCGGCGCTTTTCCTCTATATGTGTACGTTTGAAGCGACACGGAGAAAAAGACGCTCTAAAGGGAGACGCGCGTCTTTTCTCTTTTCTTTTCTTTTTTTATATACACAGAACTGCTTTTTGTTCCTCATTTTTTCATTTAAGCGGGTAATGGAAGGGGGGTGTTCGTTTGATCACATGATTACAATTCACCTGAGATAAAACAAAGGACGCAAAGAGCGCCGGAGACCGAGACAGAGAGATGCTCTCATGGTCAGGATCCCCTTATCAGAGTCAACATTCATGGATAATGAAAAAGGCAATGATTTTTGGCTTGGGTGGAGGGGGGGGGGCGTCGCGAGATGGAAATACAAGAGGTTATTGTTGACCAGAACAGCGCGCGTGTTTGTGTGCGTTTGGCCCGTCTCTTCTCGTCTTTCTGTATTTTCTGTTTAAACGCGTTAAATGCGCTCTCTGTGTGTTTATGTGATGCAATTATGACACTAACACGTAGCACGACACGATGCTGCAGGAGTTCATTCCAGCGCTAAGCGCGCAAACGCGGGTCACGACTGCAGGCCTGCATGGGCGCGCACTGTCCCGCGTATAAAAATAAGCTTTAAAATAAGCTAATAAAACGCAACCTAATACGCTTAATAGTCCAGATTAATTTACACTCAGACAGGCTATTCCGCACGCGCTCGAGTGAGAAAGAAGACGCTATTGCGCACAGCAGGTGCGCAGAGTCGCGCTGCCGGAGCTGCTGACAGGTCCGATGGCGCTCGGCGGGGGTGGAAGGGCTCCTCTGGTTCACCCCGCGGCACAAGCAGGCCAACAACGCGCCAGTGTGATCGGAAACAATTGAAAGAACACCCGAAAACCCCCGTGACCCTAATGAGGAACCAGCGACCACCTGTGAAAGTCATTTAGTCCGACAAAATCATAAAACTGCATTAGGCTATAACAAAACAAACGTAACGGCTAATTTGACAACTTTGCATTCTTACATTGTAGCAATTCCAGAACTTTATTGTCAGCCGATCAACTTGGAGCTAAAACAAATATAGGTTAATATAAAAAAAAAGAAAAAATAGACAACACATTTGCATATTCACGGTTGTCTGCCGGTTGGTGGTCATATGCCATATAAAATTAAATAATAAACAAATAAAATATTTAATAAAATATTTTCTTTCACAGTTGTATTGTGATTGTTTTTAATCTTCCAATTATTTGTGTATTTTAATTTGACCTTTTATTGTTTATTTAACTATCAATTAATTATTCTCTTTTCATCAACTCAGATCTCCGTATTCCCAGCTTTGTAGCCTGTTGGAATACAAAACAAATGTATATTTTTGATTGCAAACTTTTGTACGTCAGAAATGAAATATCTGCTAATAAAATGCGTGTAAATCGGAATTGTCCTGAATAAGAATAAGGACTGATTTTAAAATGAAACAGATTCTATAGAATTTGGATTATTACACGCTTCGTTAACACTTTATTTAACGGTGTACTTGTCACACACGTTACATGTAGCCTTCTTACTATTATAAAAACATTAAATTATGCATAATTACATGCAAGTAACCCTAAACCAAAACCTAATCCTAACCCTAACCATATAGTAAGTACATGTAGTTAATTAAAATTACTTAGTACTTAAATGTCTAATTACACTGTAACAAGGACACCTTAAAATAAAGTAACCCACGCTTCAAAATAAAGGTGTTTTCACAGTGACACAGTGACAGTCATAGGGAAAAAATGGGTTCACCAAAGAACAGTTCTTAAAAGAACCATTAAATAACTTTTTATTAAGCTAAATAATCTTTTTCACTATTAAAAGAACAAAGGATGTTAAAGTTTCTTGAACTAAGATGCCAATAGAGAACCTTTATTTGTAAGAGTGTTATGACGATGATAACATATGCCTATAGGCTATATAACTATTTGTAATAAAACAACTTCAGGACAAATTTTCACAGTCGACAGTTATCAACATTACAAAGACCTAAATATGTGAAAAAAAATGTATAAAATGTTTAAACGCACAAATAAAAGTGTGATTACACTCTAAGAGGCCAAATATTACTGTCGTTGATTTGCAGCAGAAATCACCGCCCTCCGCTGAGAAACTTCAGGGCGAAACGATGCTGCAGGAGTTCATTCCAGCGCTAAGCGCGCAAACGCGGGTCACGACTGCAGGCCTGCATGGGCGCGCACTGTCCCGCGTATAAAAATAAGCTTTAAAATAAGCTAATAAAACGCAACCTAATACGCTTAATAGTCCAGATTAATTTACACTCAGACAGGCTATTCCGCACGCGCTCGAGTGAGAAAGAAGACGCTATTGCGCACAGCAGGTGCGCAGAGTCGCGCTGCCGGAGCTGCTGACAGGTCCGATGGCGCTCGGCGGGGGTGGAAGGGCTCCTCTGGTTCACCCCGCGGCACAAGCAGGCCAACAACGCGCCAGTGTGATCGGAAACAATTGAAAGAACACCCGAAAACCCCCGTGACCCTAATGAGGAACCAGCGACCACCTGTGAAAGTCATTTAGTCCGACAAAATCATAAAACTGCATTAGGCTATAACAAAACAAACGTAACGGCTAATTTGACAACTTTGCATTCTTACATTGTAGCAATTCCAGAACTTTATTGTCAGCCGATCAACTTGGAGCTAAAACAAATATAGGTTAATATAAAAAAAAAGAAAAAATAGACAACACATTTGCATATTCACGGTTGTCTGCCGGTTGGTGGTCATATGCCATATAAAATTAAATAATAAACAAATAAAATATTTAATAAAATATTTTCTTTCACAGTTGTATTGTGATTGTTTTTAATCTTCCAATTATTTGTGTATTTTAATTTGACCTTTTATTGTTTATTTAACTATCAATTAATTATTCTCTTTTCATCAACTCAGATCTCCGTATTCCCAGCTTTGTAGCCTGTTGGAATACAAAACAAATGTATATTTTTGATTGCAAACTTTTGTACGTCAGAAATGAAATATCTGCTAATAAAATGCGTGTAAATCGGAATTGTCCTGAATAAGAATAAGGACTGATTTTAAAATGAAACAGATTCTATAGAATTTGGATTATTACACGCTTCGTTAACACTTTATTTAACGGTGTACTTGTCACACACGTTACATGTAGCCTTCTTACTATTATAAAAACATTAAATTATGCATAATTACATGCAAGTAACCCTAAACCAAAACCTAATCCTAACCCTAACCATATAGTAAGTACATGTAGTTAATTAAAATTACTTAGTACTTAAATGTCTAATTACACTGTAACAAGGACACCTTAAAATAAAGTAACCCACGCTTCAAAATAAAGGTGTTTTCACAGTGACACAGTGACAGTCATAGGGAAAAAATGGGTTCACCAAAGAACAGTTCTTAAAAGAACCATTAAATAACTTTTTATTAAGCTAAATAATCTTTTTCACTATTAAAAGAACCAAGGATGTTAAAGTTTCTTGAACTAAGATGCCAATAGAGAACCTTTATTTGTAAGAGTGTTATGACGATGATAACATATGCCTATAGGCTATATAACTATTTGTAATAAAACAACTTCAGGCCAAATTTTCACAGTCGACAGTTATCAACATTACAAAGACCTAAATATGTGAAAAAAAATGTATAAAATGTTTAAACGCACAAATAAAAGTGTGATTACACTCTAAGAGGCCAAATATTACTGTCGTTGATTTGCAGCAGAAATCACCGCCCTCCGCTGAGAAACTTCAGGGCGAAATCCTGCAGCCAATCAGCACGCGACCCGACGGGCCTCTACTGTCCCTTTAAGAGATTTTTTTTTTCCACGAATTGATTTTTTTTTCTCGCTCCTCACACAACGAGGCTCTTTAAGCCCCGGCGCGCGACACAGAGCAGGCATTCAGAGCGCGAGCGAGGGGGCTGAACCGACGGACTCTCGCGCTGGGCGGGCGACCTGCTTCAGTGCAGTAAGACGCTTGACATTATTACCTCTCTCTCTATCACTTACTCTGTGTGGGAATATACTGCAATGCAATGTATCGAGAAACCCGCTAAACGGATAAATTTGTAGTATCAGTATTGTTAACAATACATATGCCCTGCTTTGACCTTATTTCTCTACATCTGCTTGTATAAATGTGAATTCGGGTTTTCTCTGCTGTGGTATGACTTTTGGTAACAAGGACCTAATTGTAAAGAATTGTTTTTTTCTTTCTGGATTAACAGTGTAGCGCTAAATGCTGCAGCGCTCAAATTTTCTGAGCACGAAACTCTTTAAAACTAAGTCACGAGCTATACATTTCGAGATTTGCGTGAATGTGTAAATCAGAGACGTGTTGGGTTAATCTGTCTTAATGGGAGAAGTTGCATAATCAGTGTTTGACGAAACAATTTGACACTTCGATCATTTGGCAAAAAGCTCGTTAAATTACGAATTTAAATAGGCGACTTTGATTTTAAATAGGCTATTTGTATCCATGTATGATGTTGCAGCCATTATAAATAACTTTTAAATAGCTTTTTAGAATTCAGTCAATATATTGGCCATTTAGCCAATATATAGCTAGTCTTATCGGGCAAATGCTGTTTCTGTCCAAATTGCTCTACATAGCCATCAGATGTAATTTTCTAATATGAACAGAGTAAAACGAAAAGTACAAAATCTGAATAACATGTGAAGTCTGTCACATTCCTTTCACGAAAAAGAAAAAAGAAAAGAAAAAAGTTTCATGTTCCGATATTCTGATTAAAACACTGAAACGGGTCTCATTAGAAGGAAGTTTGGAACATATTGAAAGTTTTAATCTATTTATTTTCAAACCTGAGCACGTTTGTTTAAATGGCTAGTTATTGTTCCATTTAGGAGAGTGGTGTTTTGGCATGAGTGAATTAGGGGCAAATTATTGCCAAACCAGGCGTAATGATCCGCCCTACTGTACTGTGTGAACCGTGTCAAGAATATGCCGAAATAATCTAGCGAAAAATGAAGTGAATCAAATTTGAACAAATACAGTTAGCAGTGGCGGAT